TTTCCCCCCCCCCCCCCCCCCCCCACCAACAATAAAATGTAACTCCATAAATACCTTCACCCCCTCCCATCTAAACCTAGATTCACCACCATGTGCGCACTAGATCCCACACTGGCCATTTCAAACCAATTCAGAAATTGAATTTATTACATTAACCTCACCATCCACCCAATCCCACTTCATAAGCTCAAGTATCCAAAGATCCTTGTTAGCGACAGACCATGGTTGATGAATTCAGTGTTATTCAGCGCTAAGCCACATGGATACTTATTTCTCCATGACATAATGAAGTTATACTTGGTTCACGATGGACATACAACACAAAGGTTAACTCCAATTGTATGGTGACCAGATACAAGGTCTGGCTCATAGCCTGAGGGAATAGACAAGAATATGACATTAATTATTTTGAGAGCATTAGTCCAGTGGCCAAGATGCATACAGTTCACATTCTCCTTACAATTGCTCTTTATCACAATTAGTATATACTTCAATTTGACATATTCAATGCCTTTATTCATAACACACTCAACGAGTTATTCTATATGCGACAACCACCAGGTTTCAATGATTCATAGTTTCCCCGCCATGTATGCCAACTTAAGAAATCATTGTACGGCCCCCGTGCACTAATGGTTCAAAATATTTTCAGCATTTTCACCTCAAAAGGATTTTAGATCTGCAAGGTTGACCTTTCCCTGACCATCTACTATAAACACAATAATCATATTTGTCCTTATATATGTTGATGACATTCTCATTACAACCCCCAACACATCTCACAACTCAACGAAGGACTCGCTTCAAAATTCTAGCTTAAAAATTTAGGTCTGGTTGGCTGCTTTCTGGGCATAGATATTCAACGCTCCATTCAACAATATTTACTATGCCAACAAAGGTATTCCATACAAATTCTCTATAGAGGACTGCCATCCACTCAGCACACTGTTGCTAAAGACTCGATTCAGGCACGATGTCCACCATTTCACAACCCAACCTTATATCACTAGCTCACGGGCTTTCTTCAATATCTTACGGACACCCTACCTGACATTTCCTATACAAATAATCATCTTTGTCAGCATATGCCCTCCACGGCTCACTACACCCAACTTACTCACCTTCTTCGCTACTTGAAGGGCACTAGTCACTTTGGTATGAAAATCAACCCTTGGAATCTCCAACTACACACATATGCTTATCCAGATTGATCTGAAGATCATCATTTCAACCGGAAATAAATCATCGGAGTGTGTCCTTTCATAGGAGATACACCTATTTCCTGGATAGTGAAGAAACAAAAGAAGGTTTCTAGATCCTCATGTGAAGTAGAGTATCATGCTCTTGCCACAGCTACTTTTGACATCATCAGGCTTAGATGCCTCATTAAGAGAAATTTAGAGTTCCCTATCCAAGCTACGCCTCAGTGATCTCTCTTACCAACATCCAATATTCTATGCAAGGATCAAACATATTGAGATTGATCACTTTTTTTTCGTGATCACATCACCCGCAACAACATTCAACTTGACCACATTCAATCCAAAGAACAAACCAATGATATATTTATGAAAAACTACCAAAACTTCTATTCTAAGTTCTTCAAATTAATTTGTTGGTTCTCCCAAGACCCCTTAGCTTGCAAGAGGGTATTAGCCATGAAAGAACCACCAGTGGACCCAACACAGGCTCCACCACTGATATCAGAAACCATTAGATATTAGACTAGCTTTTATGCCTTTATATTCAACTTAAGTATGTATAAATAAAGATGTTGAAATACAAGCATTTACCGGAGCATTGCTTCTCTTCAGACATCCTTTCTTCATCCCACTTCAGCTATCACTAGGTTTTTAAATCAAAGATAAATTTTTTATTTTGAAAAAATCATGATCATTAATAATAATAACATTGATATTGTTTCTTGTGCTCATGCAACATCCTATTAGTAGAAAAAATATTACATTTGTTGTCAAGATTCGATGTACACATAACGTTGTGTGATTCATGTCATCGTCCACATCTCCGGTTATCTAAACATAATATATATTATCTCTTATCATTGTCTCTCTGCTTTTACCTTTCCATCATAACCATAACTTCACCTAAAATTGAATACAACCAAATGTACAATGAATCACAACAAATACATGCTCAAAGGAAATAACTTCTTCCATGATTTTCTAAACTTAAACCGTCTCCCTCTTGCTGCAACTGGCTCAGAATCATTAATCTCCAGAGCCACAGTTTCCTCCACCATAGCTTTATCTTCAGACTCCGTTTGGTCCCAAAACCGAGCTTTCCTTCTCTTCTTTCTGATACTATAAAGAACATCCTCTCTGTTACAAATTCCCCAAACTGTTACTTTTTGCTGATAATAATCTACATGAACCGAATGTATTCCTGCATGATTCATGCAATAATTATTATTTATTGTCATATTTGAAAAATAGTAACTAAAAATTTCTAATTTAGGCATATTTATGTAATAAGTTACAATATTTTACAGCAACTTAATTCATAAACATTCAAAAAGGTAAAATTGTAGCTTTGCAATAGAAGTTAACAAAGAGCTCTTTCTTCATTAAACATTTAATTCATTTTTAAATAGGCAAGCACAAGGCTAGTTATAAATCGATTATAAATAAAAATCAAATAAATATTTATTTTTTTATAGAATGTCACAAAACCCAATAAGATACCTAACATTAACTCCAAATTAATGAGAAGTTAAGAAGTTGTTAAAAGACTTAAAAAATTGTATTGTGAGATAAAATACATTAAAACACAATGTAATTGGATGGGAGTAAGACTTATATTTATTCTTAAGCTTCCTCAAAGTATAATCATGTTTACATTCGTCCCAATGCCTAAGGATTCGTGTGCCGGAGTTTCACCTAGTGAAGTTCTTTTAAAGTCCACGTCCTTCAAACGAACAAGGCTGTGATCTAAAATGGTTAAAAGTTATAGTTGTATGGGAGACGTCTCACAAAATGAAAGTTTTTTCAAGCATTGACATTTAGGGCCTTCTCAAACGAAGCCTAAGTTTATATATATGTAAGTCCTTAACTCCACTTCTTATATTGATACCACTGAAATACTTTAAATCACATAAACAATATCAATGTTTTGACTTTTAAAAAGTCAAATATAATGCATAAATTTAAGTTTAGGAGTTTTGATACTTAAAAACATTGGAATTGAGTGGTTGCATGTAAATCTTATAAAAGTAAAATTTATTATTTTCTTAAATCCCAATTTTCAATTTACAACAATTAACCAAAATAACCCTAAAATGACAAATATAAGGAAAAAATGATTTACAAGACCTCTGAGATGAGCCAAGGCTTTTTTAACCTTCTTCTCGCAGCCAAAAGAGTAGAGCGGCACCTTCATCTCAACATACTGAGGCGAGACGTTCTTTCCGGCCGCCGGAACAATTTGCAGCTCAGTCATTACCTCCTCGCTGGTGTGGATTTGGATTTATGCAGTTAATATGCAGCACATATACTTTACTAATATATAGAGGATGATTGATCATGAAGACTAATGACTAGCTTCAGGAAGTGGATTCCATGTAGGAAAAAGAGAAGAAAGAGATAGGATTGCGTGGCTTGGCATGGGTTGTTTTCCTTTTTTTCTTGCTTTTATTTATATGTATCTTGTTGTTGGGGATGAAGGATTAGTTTGGTTTATGTTGAGCTAGGGAGATGAGTAAGTGAGTCATGGCTTGTCCTTTTTCTTAGTAAAAGCTTGGAGTTTGTTTTGATGATGGAGTTTTGGGTTTTGGTTCCCATGTGAGATGTTGTGTAAAGTGGAGTTTGCCTTGTTGCTTTGCACACTAAGCAATTGATAAAGATGGCACAATCAATGTGAGTGAGTAGGAGAGATTGGGAGAGAGAAAGAGAGGAATAAAGCTTGCAATGTATATATGATCAAGAAAGAGAGGATTGTCTCACATTTGAAGTAAATATTATTTCAACATTGTATAAACATCATAATATTAAAAATAAATTATAGCAAACAAAATAACACCATAAACATCCTAAACTATATATCATGAACATAAATCAAAATGTTCTAAGAGGAGAAGTACGAAGCATGCAACTTTCTCCTTATGAAGCATCAAACCTTATTGTTGAGGAGAAACACTTAAAATATGCCTTAAGAATGTCTTTATTTCATACTTATATATATAACATTTTGTGTGTGTTTATGTATAGGAAAGGCCTAGAGAACATTGATTGAAGGTTTTTTAAAATTTAAGGTTGTGCTACAGCACCACTTCTAGCACCTTGGGGCTATGCTAGAATTTCCAAGCAATAGAATTCATGTGAGCTTGGCGCCACAGTGCTTAATACCCAACAATACAACATTAGATTATAGTGCCTCAATGCCAACCTTTAATGTGCTAAAATGATATAAGACCTTATGCATCATAATACTATCCTGACGTAGCGACACTATACCTATAGCGCCGTAGTGCGAGGACCCAACATGAACTTGGTCAACTATAATTTTGAGTATAAAAGGGGGAAGAACAATTGAATCTATGGGAGAAAAGTATGTCAATAGTGTATTAGTGTGTGAGTGTTAATTTGTGTTAATTTCTATTATATGTAAACAGAGCGAATGGAAAAGTTATTGTGTGTAATAATAAACTAGTGACGTGGAATGGTTCGGTTCTCAGTTTAATAAGTATAATTATTGATTTAAATCATTTTTTTTTGTTTGATAAACATATATTTTGTTTTCAGAAATTAATATCTTACTTTGAAAAAAAAATATATGAGATAAATAATTTTTAAATCTTTTAAAAGATTTAAGATTAAATAATTATAGTTGCGGTCATAAACAACATCACTTGAGGCATGAAAAAAGAATTAATGAGCCAGGCCTTAATTGAGCTCGAGCTTGAATTCATGGCTTGAAAACTAAACATGTGGGCTCAGGCCAGCTCAATCACACTGCTGATAGGAATTTGGTTAATTTCTCAATATTTCGGGCGGTTTGTGTTAGCGTCTCAAGAATTTAGGAAAACAGGATAAACAGACGTTAAATTTATAATTAAGTTAATTTAATAGTTTTTTATCATGCTTGAAACGATTATTTATTGTTTATAGATGACCAATAAAATAATTTGTGCGTAAATCCTTATTAAATTAACCATAAAATGGCGAATTTTCCACGCGTTGTTATTTTTGGCGTTATCTGCAGTGGATGAATGAATTTATATACGTTTATTTGTTTCAAATAAGAAGGGCCAATTTTCATTTGATGGTTAAAGTTATATATTAATTTTTTTTTGTAACATAAATTCATCTCAGCAAATTTTTTCATAGAATTTTTTTGTAACATAAATTTATTTTTTATAGAATTTCACAAAACACAATCAAATACCTGACATTAACTCCAAATTAATGAGAAGTTAAGATGTTTTTAAAAGACTAAAAAAATTGTATTGTGAGATAAAATACATTAAATCACAATGTAATTGGATGGGAGTAAGACTTATATTTATTCTTAAGCTTCCTCAAAGTATAATCATGTTTACATTCGTCCCAATGCTTAAGGATTCATTTACGGGAGTTTCGCCTAGTGAAGTTCTTTTAAAGTCCACGTCCTTCGAACGAACAAGGCTGCGATCTAAAATGGTTGAAAGTTATAGTTGTATGGGAGACGTCTCACCAAATGAAAGTTTTTTCAAGCATTGACATTTACCGCCTTCTCAAACGAAGTCCAAGTTTATATATATGTAAGTCCTTAACTCCACTTCTTATATTGATACCACTGAAATACTTTAAATCACATAAACAATATCAATGTTTTGACTTTTAAAAAGTCAAATATAATGCATAAATTTAAGTTTAGGAGTTTTGATACTTAAAAACATTGGAATTGAGTGGTTGCATGTAAATCTTATAAAAGTAAAATTTATTATTTTCTTAAATCCCAATTTTCAATTTACAACAATTAACCAAAATAACCCTAAAATGACAAATATAAGGAAAAAATGATTTACAAGACCTCTGAGATGAGCCAAGGCTTTTTTAACCTTCTTCTCGCAGCCAAAAGAGTAGAGCGGCACCTTCATCTCAACATACTGAGGCGAGACGTTCTTTCCGGCCGCCGGAACAATTTGCAGCTCAGTCATTACCTCCTCGCTGGTGTGGATTTGGATTTATGCAGTTAATATGCAGCACATATACTTTACTAATATATAGAGGATGATTGATCATGAAGACTAATGACTAGCTTCAGGAAGTGGATTCCATGTAGGAAAAAGAGAAGAAAGAGATAGGATTGCGTGGCTTGGCATGGGTTGTTTTCCTTTTTTTCTTGCTTTTATTTATATGTATCTTGTTGTTGGGGATGAAGGATTAGTTTGGTTTATGTTGAGCTAGGGAGATGAGTAAGTGAGTCATGGCTTGTCCTTTTTCTTAGTAAAAGCTTGGAGTTTGTTTTGATGATGGAGTTTTGGGTTTTGGTTCCCATGTGAGATGTTGTGTAAAGTGGAGTTTGCCTTGTTGCTTTGCACACTAAGCAATTGATAAAGATGGCACAATCAATGTGAGTGAGTAGGAGAGATTGGGAGAGAGAAAGAGAGGAATAAAGCTTGCAATGTATATATGATCAAGAAAGAGAGGATTGTCTCACATTTGAAGTAAATATTATTTCAACATTGTATAAACATCATAATATTAAAAATAAATTATAGCAAACAAAATAACACCATAAACATCCTAAACTATATATCATGAACATAAATCAAAATGTTCTAAGAGGAGAAGTACGAAGCATGCAACTTTCTCCTTATGAAGCATCAAACCTTATTGTTGAGGAGAAACACTTAAAATATGCCTTAAGAATGTCTTTATTTCATACTTATATATATAACATTTTGTGTGTGTTTATGTATAGGAAAGGCCTAGAGAACATTGATTGAAGGTTTTTTAAAATTTAAGGTTGTGCTACAGCACCACTTCTAGCACCTTGGGGCTATGCTAGAATTTCCAAGCAATAGAATTCATGTGAGCTTGGCGCCACAGTGCTTAATACCCAACACTACAACATTAGATTATAGTGCCTCAATGCCAACCTTTAATGTGCTAAAATGATATAAGACCTTATGCATCATAATACTATCCTGACGTAGCGACACTATACCTATAGCGCCGTAGTGCGAGGACCTAACATGAGCTTGGTCAACTATAATTTTGAGTATAAAAGGGGGAAGAACAATTGAATCTATGGGAGAAAAGTATGTGTATTAGTGTGTGAGTGTTAATTTGTGTTAATTTCTATTAAAAAATGGAGAGCCACTTGAGATTTATTGTTGTGTGTGTGTTTCTGTGTGCACGCGCAAGAGGGGTGTGTAAGTGAGAGAAGTGATCTTCCAGTGTAATTTAGGCCTCCGTATAAAATAAAAAATTTGAGAGTTGTTTGGTGTCCATCATAGCTTTTAAAAGATTTTTATCTAAATAGTTGGATATAACATTCGAAGAATAAAATACACCCATGATAGGTAGACATGTTATCTTAAATTGGATTTAATCAGATGATAAAAATCTTTTAATATTTATCTTAAATTGGACTATTCTCACTAGAAAAATGCTCCCAAGAATTATTGGCTCACGAGAATACCCTCAATTAATGTATTGGCTCATATTTTGCAGACTTACAAGATTAGCGCCTTCTAGATTGGTGTTTCAGTACTTCAAATTGATAGATTTAGAGTTTAAAAATATTTGTTCTTTGGAATTCAAAGGTTGAGATTTACTGAGTCAATGAGGATGTGATCAAACCAAAACCAAATTGAAATTGGATCAAATCAGTTGAAAATTACAAAAGCTTTTATCAAGGAAGTAAAAATGAATTTTTATTTCAATGTTCAGAATATAATTTGAATATGATTTTGAGCAAAATTTAAACAATATTTCAATAATATTTTGCCAACAAATGTCCAACAAAATTGTTTTTATCACATTAAAAATATTACTATTTTAATTTTTTAAAGGTGAATATATATATATATATATATATATATTATGAACTAAAAGGACATATACATAAAAGTTAAACTTTAGATAATAAATTGATAAACATATAATAATTGAGTTGTATGTAACTAAAGTGTGCACTTACGGGCGTCATAGTTGTTGAGAATGTAGTTTTCTATCGTGAGGTCACAGATTCAAATCACACATATTGTCCTCTCAAGCCCTCTCTTCATTATTTTTTTTGGGAAATTTACATCCGCGGCACTCAATTTTTATGGATTTACATATTCCACTCCTAAGCTTTCAAATGTACAGATAGAGAAAAGAATAATTGCATCAGGAGCCTTAATGCAAAAATGCATCATGAGCCCTAAGACATAAATGCATCAGGATTCAAATGAAATTCTGACACGTGTTTAGATGAGTCGGACCATACAATTAAAATATAGAATTTTTTTTTTATTTAATAGACTGTCCTGTGATGTGGCACAATTTCATTGGAGTCTTGATGCATTTCTACATCATGACTCCTGAAATGCATCAAGACTCCTGATGTAATATTTTTTCAGAGAATTATTTGTTATGTGATATGAAAGAATTGGGTTACGTGTGTAAAAATGAAAGTTCTGATGTAAAATATGTAAAAATGAACGTTTTGATGAAAAATATGTAAGTGCTATTTATGTGACTGCCCTCTCTTCTGAAGGTTAAGATGAACTCTCCAATATCCTCAAATTTATCAGTTTCTGCACAACACCCTTATTTGATTTTATTTGTATGGAAAATATGCACGTAGCACTCCGATTTTATTATATTTTATTGATTTATTTGCTTACTATTATGTCATTGGACATTTACATATGTACAACCCAATTCTTGTGTATTTACATATCAAACACCTAAATTTTACCTTTCATATTTAGACCACCC